TTTYTATTTTTGTTGTTGTTTTACATCATCATTATATATGTGTGTTTCTTCCTYTGTTTCACACTTTGAATCGAGGAAATTAGTACATCTGATTTACCTGTGGACCGTGCTCGGTGTTTTTATCAAAGGGGTTTCCCACAGTGCGRTTCTGTGCTCTTTGTACRCTCTTCTTGACAAACTCATCATAAATAGAGTCTTGAACAAAGGTGCGACTGGCAGCACAGCAAACTTGTCCTTGATTGAAGAACAGTGCTTGATGAGCAACTTCAACAGCAATGTCAAGATCACAGTCGGCTAAAACGATGTTTGGGCTTTTGCCGCCAAGTTCAAGCGTTACACGCTTTAGGTTGGAGTTGGCTGAGGCTGACTGGATTAAACGGCCAACCTAAATAATGCGAAAACTCGCGTGAAACATCATATACAATGTTTACAAATGCATAGAGAGGTAATATGACAAATGGCATTACTAAGCCAAAAGGAACCATGTACCTAAGTGACCATTCCATGTTCCACCTTTTCTCAGTGTTGTAATTCCATCCACAAGAAAATGCTCTCAGTGCAAGTTGCTCTTTTCTTGAACCGCTTGACACCAATCGCGTTAAATCAATTTACCAACAATTTTTATTCCCCTACCTCAGTAGAGCCAGTAAATGAGACTTTATCAATGCCCATGTGATGTGTAATGCCAGCACCTGCAGTAGGACCATAACCTGGAATTACATTAACAACACCAGGTGGAAACCCAGCCTAGAACATCAAAAAAATACATTTAATAGAAGGAATGTAATATCTACATCAAATATGTTATAAATCCTTTGCATAAATAATGCCCGTAAAGCGCAAGCAAAGTATTTTATTAAGGTATTTTACTGCATAAAAAATATACACAGGCAACTACATTATTTATTTACCATTCCTTTCCCATTACCTCTTTAAATAAGGAAGCAGCATAAAGAGCAGTCAGTGGTGTCTGTTCAGCAGGTTTGAGGATGACAACATTWCCACAAGCTAAAGCTGGAGCAAGTTTACAGCAAGCCATGGCAAGAGGGAAGTTCCAAGGTGTAATGGCCCCAACAACTCCTACTGGCTCATGACGAGTATACACAAAGTATGGTCCATCTTGTCAATCAAATTAGTAAATAGTTAGAGTTAGAGGTGAATTTGGCAATGGTTTGATCCATGTTAGGGTAGGTTACATTATAGTCTTGCTGCCAAGCCTTTTGTTGTGCTTCCTTCTTTTGTAATGGACAGGCTGTAGCCTGACATAAGGTTATTATAAGTAAGCTATGAAGTACACTAGCTACATAGAGGACTTACAGTCTTTAAACACTTAAAGATACATAACATAATTGGATATTATGTGTACAACCATCTGCCAGCATTCTGTTTTCTTCTGCAAAATTTGCACAGACTTGTGGCACATCAAACAATAGAATGGCTGAATTTCAGTCAATTCTTTGCCGACACTCCATATCATACAGACACTGGGTTATTTCATTTACCTAAGAATAAATCCCAAGTACTCCAGGGAAATAGCTCCCTTTATGGAAAATTAGAGAATACTCACTACCTAATTTGAACATTTATTAATGATGAACTTGAACGTATCCCCATTAAGACTAAACTGTCAGTATTAAACTAAGAAGTTGGTGCAGAAACCAAATGTGGATTGCCCAGAGTGTTCTGATGTCTTTATAAACTTGCTGGGAATTAAAGACTAGTACATACTTTTAAACAGTCATAGAGTAAGTGCCCAGATAAAGAAGATGTAATGACTAGTATTGGGACTTACCAGCWGGTATAGTCTTGCCATGTACTTTGTCAGCCCATCCAGCATAGTAACGGAGACATGAAATACACTCCTGCATGTCACCGACAGAGTCATCAAACAGCTTGCCACTATCGAAAGTCTCGAGGGACTAAAAATTGGAATCACATTCACTTGAATGAATTTAAGGGGTTAAAACTAATTGAAATTTAACAGCCAGAATTGAATAAAGAAAGAAAATAAAACAAATCAATTGATCATAGACATATTAAATCAAGATTCAAGAAGAAGCAMTGGATACCAAAGTATATTCAAAGGTCCAAAGGTGTTACTAATCTAATCCAAAACATCAAAGAAGCTTACAGCCAGATARGCAATATCCCTTTCCAAAAGATCTGCCATTTTGTAGAGAAGTCTTCCCCTATTGGATGCATCCATTGTTCTCCATTTGCTTCCTGGTTTGAAGGCTTCTTTTGCTGCCTCCACTGCCTTGTCTACATCTTCCTACGGTTCAAATTAATACATTTATGTCATTTTTTGAAAGATTGTAGCRTATCCCATAAGGTTGTGCCTCTATTCACTGTAATAATACACCTACTTGCAGAAACGTTGTCATAGAAAATAGAACATTCGAATTTAGTAAAAAGGAATAAATTAAAACAGGACAAAAGAAAGCGTTCAGCCTCAGTGATCTTCTTTTGTCTTTTTAATTTATTCCTTTTTATTAAAATACAAATGTCCTATTTTGTATGACAACGTTTTCGCAAGTAGGTGTATATAGGATTCAGAACATGAGGAAAACACCTTATATTACCTTATCTCCTTCTGAGACATCACAGATTTTTTCACCAGAACTGGGGTTGATGGTCGGAAAAGTTTTTCCACTCAAACTGTCAACATACTCATTATTGATAAAGAGCTGAAAATTCAAAAAATATCAAATCAAATGTTATTGTTGGATAAAAAGGGAAGTGCATCCATAATGATTCTATCTATTTTTCCTTTCCCTCCCCTCCCCTCCCTCCTATTTTCCCTGACTCCCCCTATCACCATTTTACCCTTTCCATACAGAAATCCCAACCAGGAAAGGAGATTTTTTTTCTAAGCACTAAAATCATCAATTTCTTCATCTTACTCTGGTGACATCATTGGCATGTTAAAAGCTAGCAATCTCTTCATCAATATGATTGTATAGGTTGAATTGTACTCATAGATCTATATATACCTGTGAAGTTTGTAATAGGATACAAAAATTATCACCCCCATCCTTTATAATTTTCCGATTTGTATAAAAGTTACATTTAGGGCTGGTCATTTTACTTTTACAGTCAAAAGACATGGAGCACCCCCCTCCCCTCCCTGGCGGAAATTTCGCCTTTCAGGAACTCTTTACTGGCAGTAAATTAAGTGTTGATATTATCCAACCCTCCCTCAAAAATCTAATGCTTAGTCTGTGCAGATCAATAGAATATCCTCCTGAGATGGAATGGCCGTGCATATTACACTTAATGAAACATACCATTGTCTTATTCGTACCTGAGTGAACTTGATCTGTGGGTTTTTAATTGGCTCAGGACTTTCACTCATGATAATAGAACGTTTTCAAAACAGGATTGAGAAATCACTGCGTACTACGTGTTGTTTGAGGAAAGATGTTAAAACTTGCCAGGCGTTCCTCTCTATATATCACAGGAACCCCATAAATAATACAGAAATGAATCAATAGAATACACAGATGTAAATTGTTAAACAATTTATGTGTTTTATGTAGTACCCGTCCACCCTGCGGGCAAGAATATTTTTTGATACTGAAATTGTTTAATGCACTCAGAGCGCAATCGCATTTTTCACCTTTTTCTGGTACCTTTGCACTGTATTGCCCTACAGAATGGTTTCATATTTTTAATATGCAATTTTTTGGGCCAGGTGACTATGCACGCTGCAGTTACAGTAAAGTGTTTATGCTGGGTTTATACTCTCACTGTCAATTAGCACGTTAGATATATGGACTACCTCATTAGCATATTGAACAGTTTTGTTTCTTTGGCAATTCAAACGCGACGTGCGCTTTTATTGAGGTAAGGAAATACACTCTGCTCGCAGGGTAAAGCCAAAACTACTCTGATATGAATATGCAGGCGCCTCAAAGAAAAAAAGGTAAGGAAATGTCCTTTGTAATTGTTCACATGTTTAAAATGTTAAGCCCCGCATAAGCCACTTGCAATAGTTCAATTGAATTTACTGTATGGTTAACTATAAGTTGCCATGATCGTTCCCGTCGCAGAACAGCCATGGCTGATATATTCCATCGTGAAAATTTCTTACTATTTCCAAAATATTCTTTTTATTATAAATTATCTCGTAGTTTTTACTTTCATTTACGTGTTAGTTTAAAACATTACTATTCTTTTTATAAATATTTTGAAATTTGGTTTCTGAAGCGTTGCTATGGTAACGACCTTATATAATCCAATTCTGAGCTGGTTGTTAGGCTTTTTTTCAAAAATTATTCCGGAACAATTAAGGCCCCCTTCGGATTGTTTTCTCTTGTTTCCATGTAATAGCCACAGTTTGTAAAGGAACTCCAATGAACATAGATATATATAAACCTGGATTTGAAGCAAATCTTTCGCTGAGAATCACGAGATCAAGTCCAATACTACTCATGTATTTCGGCGGTCTCTGCTGCGTATTTTGTCATTTTTACATACTAAATTGAAGCGAATCCAATACGTGCTTGGTTATTCCATTTTCTTGTCAGTGTTGTAGATCATTTGCACCTGCCATTTCCGGTTAGTTTGTAATTACATTCATCAAGGGAAAGTGCGCCTCAAGTGTACACAAGTTCCACTAATACTAAATACGTTGATCGATGTCGAAAGAGATCGACAACTTGCACTCATGCATAAAGCTTTTTGCCGGGAACGAAAGCATTCTATATAGGAGTTTCGCAGGATTTTTTACAATACTCACTGGCTACATGAGGAAATGATCTTTAGACCATAATATGTAAACTTAGAACCTGGCGCGCGATGATACCTGATCACACCTATTTAAAAAAAACGTTGTCGGGGAGAACGGAAAGCGGCGATTGCAGACATTGCATGTCGAAGGAATATTGTACGACCGAAAGGTACTATGGTTAGTAATACTGTTTTGACAAACAACTGTTTTGACTTATTGGGCTAGCTCGAGCTTGACTAGAAATAGAGACCAAATGGAGCCAATGTTTACCACAGTCTGTAGACTACCTTACAGGTCCTTACACTATAAACCAGTTGGTCGTGCACTCGCATACGACAATTGACTCTCCGCTGTATTTATCCGCTGTATTTATCCGACAACCTTTTTTTGAAAATAGGCATATAAGCCGCCTAACTGGATTCTCCTGAGCACATGCCATGCACCTGTGCACGGAATGAATGAATATACACGAAACGACACACGTAATTTGAGGGAAAAAATTTAGTAATTTTAATAGAAAACCGACCGAGCAAATATTGTGTTGTTATGATTAGTTTCTGACCGCCGTTTTTTTTAGTAATTTTTCATTTTAACTTCTCATCCTTTTTTTATCTGACTTTTACGTGTCAAACTATAAACAATGGAATATCATTGTGGGGTTTAATTCGCTCAAAAGTACATCATGATAGCCTGAATCGAATTGATCCCAGAACTATATATAGTTAAGGCAATTTTATTTCTCAACACTTTGTGCCGGCGGTTTTTCAATGACAGGATTCAAACGTCGAATTTACCTTTGCGGAAACCAATTATGTCAAAAGAGGTGATAATAAGCCGATGAGCAGAAAGAGAGTAGAAACAACTAAAGAGGCAGTTTGGGAGTTTATTTCCTGAGTGAATTCAATGCAACTCAGCGTATGAAACATTAGCGCTTATTATCTAGCTAGGATCCTGTAGAGCTTCCTTAAAAGTTTCTGCTTTTCCGTCTGCTGCAGAATCATACATGTATCTTCTCAATTTAAGAGTTTGTTGCGAAAATTATTAGAGTACTCATCATCCAAGCGGATACTCCTGTGGACAGAGGAAAACCTCGAGTATCCCTGACAGAATGATCCATTTGTGGAAACTTTTACATGAATAATCATGATATTTGCTACAAGTATGTTTTTATAGTATATTCTCTAAAATCGAGCCGTGAAAAGGATCTCCGACTAAATATTTTGCTCCCCTAGTTGTATAGAACTTAAAAACAATCCGTCATCCTTTAAAATAATCTGTATTGTCTTCAACTTGCGATGCAAATCATGTTCAGCTCTATCAATTCGTTGATAAGCCGTATGCCGTTCCTATAATTGTTATGTTCATTCATAATATGAAACGCGCATTTTCGGCTTATACACATAAATATTAAATATCAGCAATCGGTGAATAGTTCCCTGAACAAATAKATTAACACATCGCAAATACAGTCTATATCAGCATCATTAGCAAGTCTGAAAAGTGCCGARAAAAYTAAAAGTGCGTTCCGAATAGRCCAGCTGTTTTCTCACACACTATTTGGCGGATAGGTTTTTTTATTAAAATGATTCGTATTGACAATGGTCTACTTAAATATACATGACGATTTAGGACCATTTAGTTTTGTAAATAAAATAACTAAAGCTAAAGCATCAAATATAACTTTTAAACGAAGATTTAAATTGAAATTGAAACGATAAGATAGTTAGAACGAAAAAATATACAGTATCAGATAGTACGGAAAGTATTTTTGTATTTGCCGAAAAATTATGTGTAGCAATGATCTGTTATACCCGATTGGCGAATTTAAGATAAGTCATTCAAACGTCAGGAAAGCCGCTGGATGTCTATGACATTCATCAGTCAGATGTATAATTTATTTTGTTTGAAAAAATTCTTGTCAACGACTTTTTCTGATCTCGTGCCTTTTTCTCTCATGTCGTACAAACGGCGACAATCGAAGCTCGCTGCTGCGGCAGCAGCTGAACAGGCTTTGCGAACAGAAAAGAAAATAGWAACTGCAAGCAAGAACAAAGGTTTGTTCCATATCACGGACAATAATAACAATGACAATAATAACTCGCCAATGTTTATAATACTCTGTATAGCTTTGCAGCATTTTCACTGTCAGCTTTTAGTGATAATGTGGGCTGAATAGTCTATATTATAGCGGTTTTTTGTTTTAACAAAAATTGAAAAAAACATCGCTTGATAATTCTTGATAATAACATTTCTCAAAGTTTTCGCCAAATGGCAAAGCCTGCAGATCGGCTTTTAAGTAAAGTATACATCACCATCACGTGAGAGTWATTTTACGTATTCTGGCTTTAAATCTGACAGCAAATGACGCAAATTGATACACAAATTGAAAGCGACTGTTATACAGTTGACTGTAGGAAATGATTGTTGACTGTTTTTAATGTTTGCTTGGCAAAGTCTTTAGTGCGGTTCTGTCTGACAAAGATTCGGTGTATGCAAAACATATTTCCGAAATTAGTTTAGAATCGACAGTCTTTCTTAAACCAAACGGAAGTAATGCAAAGTAGTGGACAAACATCCAAAGGATTCGTTGGTGAGTCCTGCATTTTTTAGCTTTATAATGATTATATTTGGCAGTTATTATTTCATGATTAATTTGGGAGTGCTTTATTTACCTGTTTCTTAAAGTTTATTCATATATTTATCATTTACTTTGAATATTATTGATTTATCTTTTTTCTTTTTTTCTTTTAACACAACCGTTTTGTCTAAGATAAACGTTCATCAGGAGGCATATGCGGAAGAGGCATGTTTATGCAGCGCTAACCTTGCGACGTTGTTCGATGAATATTAATATTCCAGAAAATTTCCTTTGGATTTTCGGTTTGATCGATAGTGTATAGTAACTAAGAAAAATAAATATACAATTATAGGTTTTATTAGATATGACTGTATGATGCAGTCACCTCTCCATTTCCTCATTCCGTTCATTTAGACATTCGCGGTCTCCCTGTGTTGCTATCCCCAGTCTCTCCTGCAGTGGTGGTCACCAGCCATTTTGTTTTCACAGGTCGAGCGAAAAAAAAAAGTTCAGCTCCTGTTTACCTCGGCATGTTCAAAGCGAAAATTCTCATAATTGGACCTTGTGAGGTAAAATGTTAGTGGATATTATATAGATTAGCAATCTTAATGATGTACTTCTGCACATGTTAAAGTTATTTTAATATGGCGTAAGCTTGCTTACCTTTCTCTTAATAGTGACCAAATCTTACGAATTTAGCGTTTAGATTATATTGACCACTAAGTTATGGTTAGTTGCCAGGGAGACCTTCTCAATTACGATTTTTTTAAATAATTTTTGTCTTTGATTTGTAGAGTGGCAAAACTGTGTTAGCAAATTTTCTTTCTGATGCTACTGAAACATCTGGCGGAGAATACCATCCTACGCAAGGCGTAAGGTAAGGAAAGTTTGCAGTAAATTGAAACGAAATCTTAACACTTGTAAGCTAAATATATTAAGAAATATTGAGTAACGGATTTTATTCTATTTTATAATTGCTTTAAAATGACGTTTAAGGTGATTTGTACACATTTTTATTATTGCTTTGCCACGGTTACCATAGCAACGACCCAGCTGCCATATATTTGTAATGTGAGAAATTAGTTTGTCGCTTTATTTTTTTATTTCTTKGCATAATTATTGTAATATTACATGTACTTATATGTAGATTTTTCCTGAGATTCATGTTTTATGTTGTTAGAATTCTTGAATTTGAATGCAACAACATAGAGGTATCCCTTAGCAGAACAGCAAATTGTGAAGTAGAATTATGGGATTGCAGTGGAGATCATAGGTAAAACAAACCGTGATATTGCATATTTAATTATCTACAATGATAAATAAAATAYAAGTAAAAACTTTTGTAACACGGCAAATGTGTACAATTAGTTGTCCTTTCAATTTTAACAGCTGAATGAAAAGAAAAAAAATTACAATTTACAATGATCCCTACAATGATTCATTCAGTCATACTGTTTTCATGTCAATTATTTTTTCTTACTTTTTGTTCTATTCCAATTCTTTGCTATCCCTCTTTCTCTACTTCCATGTATTTATGTGTGTCATATATTTAGTGATTTGCAGAAATTCTGATAGCCAATCATGCCTTTTACTGTGGTTATAGTTAAATAACATTATATTAATTGTATATTTTTATTAAGATTCTCAACTTGTTGGCCAGCTCTTCAAAATGATACCAATGGCGTAGTGATGGTTTACAATCCAGACCAACCAAACCATGACAAAGAACTAGAAACATGGTAAATAAACTTGATATTATATAATTTAGAAAATTTTGTAATAGTACGCATGCCCTGATTGGTCCAAGAATGTGATACAGGCATGTTGAAATTATGCGTGGATGCCCCCTTTCCACATAATTTACCAAATTGTGCATAATCTTGCATAATTCATGTTTTTTTTCCCATGTCATACCATTTTTTTTTTTAGATGAATTGCCTTGTACTAACGTTTTTTGTGGTCCCTTGACTATTTTTTTGATCAAAAAATACTTCCAAACATGCTTATAATTTTTTTTGTTTTCGTGGGCTTCACAAATGTACCAGGCGTTCAAAATTTCATTAGAAAAGAGTCTGGGCACTAGCATTACTGGTCACCCTGTGCATTACCGAATCACGTGACAAATTCCAATATGGCGTATAACAAGCGTAAAGCTTACGAGAAATAAAAAGTCTTAAAAGATCTTTCCAGTTGGTACTTTCTTCTATACTTCGTAACTAAGATAAAAATGGAATTTCGCATGAAAAACAAACACAATAACCAAAAAATATGTAAAATTACCCAAAGTTTACGTACGTTCCTGTGATGAAGTCATCCCACATAATTTTCCTCATTTTCCACATTGCATGCTGGTAGACCTTGGTCCTTTAATACATCTAAGTTGTTTAAAAGAGTGTCAATGTGTTCAATTATCATGTTTTATTATTGCTGTTACAATAGGTATACTCAGTTTGTACAGGAACAGTGGTTACGGGATTCACAATGTCTTATATTTGCACATCACAAACCTATGGCACCAGAACGAGTCAGGACTCAAGTCCGTAAGTTGTCTTTAATGACCAAAACATAATCATAATCCCATGTCTATGATGTCCAATCTGAATAATGCTATTCTCCTTTTTTGTCACTTCCTCTAATCTTTTATTCGTTCTACTTGTCATTCCAGCTCAAACTCTCTCCAAAGTMCCATGTGTTCACACCAATCTAGATGAAGACCCAGACTCTGTACGAGAAGAATTCAAAAATTTCCTGGGACAAGTTTTAAGTAATTTGACTGACAAGCGAGATCAAGAAGAACTTAGTATCATGAACAACTGATGTTAGTAATATATATAAACTAAGGTCTTTTTTAGGAGTCTGTGCACCTAACCCGTGTAAAGACATGTGTAAGGACGGATCCAGGGGGAGGGGAATTTTCAGGGTTCAAAAATATATAGAAATTATGAAAAAGGAGCTGAATCCCAAACAAAGCAGCATTCATCTGAAAGCCAAATGCCATTATCCGCAGCCGTAAATCTATCAATTTAATATTTTTTACAGAGTCAGCCACCCCTTCTTATCACGTTCTGGATCCGCCTGTGTTTAACCCTTTGACGACGGGTGTTTATTTGTTGATTTTGGAGCATTTTCGACTATAAGAAGATGATGGAATATTTGACTTCCATATAAGGTGTTGTCAATCAAACTATTGCAGATTTGAATTCCCTAGGGAGCGTTAACATAGTAAGCAAAAGAATRAAAGACAAGCCTCTGAAACCAGGGTATCGCCAGAGGGTTAAACACTGCAATTAGTGCAACAAAAATAATCATAATTACAGTCACGTCTGCCGCTAACAAGTCAGGCATGACAACTAGTAGTATGCAAAACTAACTATTTCACGGGCTGCGTGGAATGACTCTATTGCAGTCATTAGCAATAGGCAATATGCATGCACCRACGCAATTTTGTGCAGCAAAATGATGGTAGTTGTAGTCCAGCGTACCTTTTCTAAGCAAATATAGAAGTAGTTAGTACAGTTTCTACTAAGAAAACGTAAAAACGGCTCTTAGGAGATATTCTAGGGTCGAGTACTACAACAAAATGGCATCGCTGCACAATGCCTATGGAATGGCTGCAAATCCTTTGTTCGATTCGGACTATTCTTTCAGAAATCTGTGCGAAACTGTGACAGTAGACGTTCACTGGTTTTCCTGAATCCTAGAGTGTAACATCTATTCAACTGTACTTTTTATGTTTTGTACAATTGTTGTTTTTTGCTAGTATTTAAGTATTAGTAAGCGATGACAAAGAAGRAGACTCCGGCGAAGGGRATGTTTCCATTTGTTATATTCTCTGATTCCTTCATTACTTCATTCCTTCTCAGTTTTCGTGCTTTCTTGCTTTCCTTGTCTCTTTGCATCCGCTTACTTCATCACTAGCGTGAGAATCGGTCTTTTTCGCGTCATTATATAATATATAATATAAATGCTATTTAATGTTATTTCTTGGGTTTAATGTCTTTACTTTATCATGTTATATAGTGTAAAATATATCAAGCTATTTATAAATCTCTAACATGGTATTATTTGATTTTTTATAACATAGATATACCTGTTTTTGAAAAAAACAGTGTCATTTGAAGACAGCATAAAGAATTATTAAATGGTGAAATAATAACAAAGACTGGGAATTTTGGCAYTATTTAAAATTTTTGATTAATTTGATATGATTCTCRTGCGCACTTACAATTTGCAGATTGCTTTTTACATATCCGACAACGTTTTGAAAAGAAGTGGATAATCCTATCCTATTCCCATTTAATTTACACTTCCATCCCGTATAGACCTAATTGAAGAAGGTTTTCAGGTTCTTAAAATGKTCAAATCACAATTAAGCTACTAGACCGAAGTGGATTTTGGCAAAAACGTTGATAAATTTGCTGATGTTTAGRTAACGTAAATCAAATTTCTTTTAACGTTTTTCATAGAGACCGTGATTTTTTAGTGCACACAGTGTTTCGGAATGGTAACGCTGTTSGAATGATATTTCACCACTTTTTTTCTTCAAATGGGTGTATGTATTTTAGTCCTTGTACCGCGTTGGTTAAAACTCGATGCTTTTCATGATAATGCCCCCTTTGCGATTTTCTCTCCTTTTCTAACTAATAATTCAATATTACACTCCCTCTCGAAACCTCATTTTCAGTGCTGAAAAACAACGTACCAAACCTACCTGCGTCAAAGAGAAAACAAGTTTCAAATCCTACTTATTTAAGAACATTTTTATGAATAAAGATAAAAAACCGCTACTGACTGGATGTAACGTTTAGGCCAGCGGAAAGTCCGACGAAAAAAGAATGTTCGAAAACGTCAAAAGTTTTTTATCCTTTCACAAACAAGTTTACCATACTAGTAAAAATTGTAATTACAATTAATGAAAAATCATCCATACTAACTCATTTTCACTAATTTTCATGTGAAAAACATGCCCCACTTTGAAATTCAGCTTAAAATGCGTGTGTTTTCTTTTTTCTTTTTACAGGGTTCTTTCAGTCTGACTGAGCGTAGGTGTAGTTATACTGAGATGYTGTCTCCTGAGCTTCTTTTTTTCTGTTTCTAATTCCTTTTTCTCAATCTATAGTCTCCGCGAGTCACTATATTTCCAAGTTGTTTTTAGTACGTGTCGTTCTCTCGGTTGTAAGGGATATTTATGAAAGACACTTGAGTTTTAAGTGACTCTTACGGCCACTCAAAGACTTCAAATCATTAATCACCTCTTAAGGGGAAATGTTAAGAGCTTTCAAGTCGAATAAAAACTTAACGCTGCCTTTGTGAATTCCTGTTTTAAATCAARTTTTGAAGGAAAATGGTGCACTATCCTAATTAATGTCAAGTGTTTTGTCTTTACCAAGTTTGTGAGTGCCATATACTATACCATATGCCGCTGTGACTCAATGACAAAGTCGTGACTAAGAGAATTGATATAAGCTTATCATATTGCTCATTGACATTCACATTCGTATTACAGACTGGAGCTTATAGTCATTCATGTTGGACAGGAAATTTGGATTATTTTCTCAATTTGTTTAAATCTTTTTGCTTGTATATTGACTTGTTTGCAATCCTATTTCAGTATTGTAGAGCCCCGCCCTTAGCGTCCCGCACTTTGAACAATACGCCGCACACCAACATCTTCATTTCCATTGTGGTTTTTGGTATCCACCCCCTCTCTACTCATTTTAGAACATTATGCCGTCATCTTGAATGTCAGTGTTTTCTGTTAGAAATTATAGGATTCTCAGTGATATATATCATATATTATCCTTATTTCAAAAAAGGTTGTCCGATAAAATGGCGAATGTCAGTTGTCGAACGGCGATTGCACGGCCAAAAGTAGCCATGGATTTTGCTAATTAAATGGAAATAACAACTGATTTATACTGCAATATAGTTTGTGGGGAACATTGCTTTTATATATTTAGTCTCCATTTCTATGCAAGGTGAATCCAATAAGTGAAGTTTTCTTGTTGTTTTTTCCAAAGTGTAACCATATTCCCTTCGGGTCGTGCATTCTCGCTTCGACAATCGCCGTTCTCCCCCACATCGTACGTTTTTTTTGATATAAGTGTATTGTATAAATTTAAGCGGATTTATGTTGACATATTAATAAACATCTCAGCTTAGATTTATTAACATGTAATATAATTAGAATTCCATATCAGTTTCATTTTCACAATCCTACAAATAAAAGCATAAAATCATAAACTAAAATAAATAAAAATTATATAATACTCCYACGCTCTTAATTTAACAGAATTTTGTTGCTCTCAGCACCTGAACGTGATTGGGTAAAAATTGGTTATACAAGCAACACTATAATAAAACTAAGTCTTTTATCTCTAAACGATCCCGTGGATAAATATCCAGATATGTTGTTACTTCTTGTTTTACATCGTTCCCGCAAGTGAGTACCTTCCCCGTCAACATGCATGCCTTGAGCAACATCTCTATTCATAAGTCTGGCGATCCTTCGATAAAACATAATTAAATCTGAAAACAATATTTGTWAGTCGTATTTATTGCGGGAGATGTCAAAACACCCGGCATGATTTTTAGATAGCAGACTCTAATGGAAAAATTTGATGACTTCCGTTTTCATCCGCCTGATTTGTCGGTGTTCCGACGGAGGAAATTGATAAAGCTTACGATCCAATCACAAGAATGATCAGTCTCCCAGAGCGCGCACAGTAAATTAAAAAAAGATCTTAAGAAAGAAAGACAACAGTCAGTTTTTACTGGCGCTAAACAAGCTTTAGTTATTTTAACCTGGATGAATTTGTTTGACGACCAAAGAGATTATTATGAACTACTCTTATTGGACTCCGGTACGTGTGGAAAACCTAAGGCTGCGTTTATACGCGTGYCCGGATATTTTTCGAAACCAAGCTTACTCGATTTCGCCTTGTACGAAACCAACGAGAACGATGACCGTATTTAAAAAGAGAACGATCATACAAGAATATAAAGTTTTAAAAAATATCCGGTACGTAAAAGGAATATTGTACTTTCGTGACGTATTTTTACCGATGGCTGTAGCGTACTGTCGTGCCGTKTGTATTGTCCGTTCATCGCCGACAATCTATGAATTCTGCGCTATAAATGACCACAGGATATTACATTACTTTATGTTGTTTAGTAAAATGCTGTAGTTTGATCCGATACAATTCTCTATATGTATTCTTGGAAGTAAACTCTAGAACCGGAAATGATAACATCAAAAACTGGAAAAGACGTTTTCCAATTAAAAGACAAAGCCATGATATTGATATTAGTGTGTATGAATAACGAGGAAGCTTACATACTGTGCAATATATTTAGTTGAAATATTTCTGTCTATTTCAATGTTTAAACACTGACAAAGATATAACTAATTCAAAACAGTAGCATCAAGGGGCCGGCCTCCAAATGTTTCTTCATATAACATACTCATGAATATTAATGGCCTAACAAAACTATCACGCGCGCATGCAATTTAGGCGGGAAAAMTGATGTCAGAAGTTTTGGTGTCAAAAGTAGTGAGGTAGTTGATTGCTTCTCTAAAGAATTAATCTCTTCTCTAAAGGTTTTAACAAGTCAGTGCTCTAAACAAGGCTGTGTTGTTAACTCAACTGCCATCGGCAATGTTTACATGGGATCTTAAAAGCATTTTCGACAGAACGACACAGACGTTTAAAGAACGGTGCTTATGTTTAGCTTTCGTTCGTATTTGATTCACTTAGGGATTAAGCATTTTACATGCTTTGTTTCACGTTCTAATATCAATGTTGACAATGGAAATGGTTATGATGTCCAAAGCAATYCTTCAAAACACCGTCTCTGAAGTTTAAGCTTTTTTATCTAAACACGATTGTCATTTGTTGTCGTCGCKAATGTTAAAGGGATAACCAACTGTTTGCTATCTTACTTTCAAGGATTAATTCTTATTCAAATCTGGTACACAAAGCAAAGCCGTTTCCACTTTATACTAGCTGAAGAAAGTAAATCTACTGCAAATGTAGAAAATTCTCCTGTCCTGGACTTTGATAAGCCGTCATTTTAGTTCAACAAAATTGTTGATTCAAAAAAGTTGATTAGTGCACCAAACCATCCGAGATTGCTGAGATAWTGTTGACTAAACTGCAGAACTTTCAGTGAAGGATGTAACTGTGGGAGTACAACAATAATAGGGTAAGTATTAAACCATCAAATAACAAGAAAATTGTACATTGCAATCAATGTGAATAACGTTACCTTCCAAGTGTTTTACTGTAACCTTCACACAGTACAGTAGACCAATAGCACCCACAGTTGCCTTTCAAAGCAAAGCAATATTTGATATATAGCAAGCTAGCCATGTACAGCCTTTTGCACAAATTATGAGACATTTTTATATATATAAATATACCTAACCAAATATCAAAAACACCCAAGAAATTATGGGATACCGTCGCTGATATTTTGTCTGTAACAACCTGATGCTAGGCAATCATGACAAAATATAATAGAGATATACCATAATTTCTGGGGTGTTTTTGATATTTGGTTAGGTATATTTATATATATAAAAATGTCTCATAATTTGTGCAAAAGGCTATACATTAAACAATAAGAACAATGATTATATCACTAATTGAGGTTTATGTCATTTTATTTTACAATCAATCGCGCGGGAACAATCCATATCCCTAGGCGGTTAGCAGCTCGATACAGCCCAAAATTATCAACTGCCATTTTTTAAACAAGTGAATGGTTTTGAAGCGTTAATGAAAAGGGAGTGGCTATGCGAATCTTTTAACGACTAAGATATAGAAAACCCTAAAATGTGTGATCTTAGAAACCATTAACTATCAATTAATATAGAGTATAGTTATAAAGCTTCTTTCATCATAAAGGTACCAAAAAGTACTAATATTGAAGATACGAAATCATTTCTTATACATCAGGTCTTCCAAGCATGCGCAATAAATGAATACATGCGAATACTTTAAACTTTAAAGTAAACGAATCTGTTTGATTGAGGATCATACCTACCAGTTATATAAAGGATAATACAATGCTTCCTAAGTTCTTAAGTGCGACGAGAAGGACAAACCGTCATTTTGTGTAAAGTTAATACATCTAGATAGGAACCACACTCAAGACTTCTTCGTGTGAACACTTTTAAATCTTGAATTTCACCAAAGACCCTTGAGAGGTCCGTTCAGAATGAGCTTTCCGGAAGACTTTAGACTAATGCTTTATCGCAAACTTCCTTTTAGATCTAGAAAAGACGTTTTAGYTGAACCATTAATACATTTGGCAAATCTGTCATTATACAATAACAGCCTTATGAAGGCTTCCGATTCAACTTGTACTGTTTTTAAAGCAAATCCCAAAATTGCTAAATCAGTTAACAAAATGAATAAGGCAATGTTCTTGTTGTCAGTAACAGTTTTAGTGATGCACATTAACATAACAAAACAAAGAGCGCGTCATTTTCAGAAATGGTATTACAACTATATCGGTTTCGATTCCTTGTCTTTATWTCCTACCGCAACATCTTTTCTAGCATGTGTCTTGTTTATTTGATCTTTATTAAGCTGGAATAGATACATCCTTGGCTAGAAGCTGGAGTAAAATTTGTGATAGATAATCCATGGCTGATTTTAACCAAATTAATAACGTGATTACTGTAATTTGAAGAGGCTGCAATGTATACATGTGTATACCATCATGGTAGAATTTTACAGAGGGAAGTATTTAAGTGTTCAATAAGTTATAGACATACGGAGATAAAACTTAAGACATTTTGGAGCAGTCTAAACAAACGATGGATAAATTTTGCTAAGCGACCACACAGCATTTTTTCGTTTGGCAACTTTTCTGATTCATTGGATTGATCAGCATTTAATTTTTTCCACCATGGTCTCCGCCATGTTTATTTAAAACTTCGACAAGGAAGAAATGAAATACAATCAAATMATCATATAAATGAAATGTAAATGGGATGAATAGTTGTGGCAGACTGTCCAAGTAGGAAATTCTGAGGCAGTTAAAAAATTATGGATAACCTGCAAAACTATTAAATGTTGCTAGGCGACGACGTTTGGCAACTTATCTGATTGTATTTATTGGATAGACCGGCATGTAATTTTTCCTATTATGGTCTCCGCCATTTTTGTKTCTTCAGACTTTGACAAGGAAGAAATGAACTAAATGGGATGAATTATAGTCGTGGTCGACTGTCCACAGGGTGTTAATGTGTCGAGACATACACTAGCATCGTGAAAAGGTGTACGAAATAGCCTTATAACTAACAGACTATACTGACATGCTTATTATATTGGGCAAAATGGCGTCCACTATTAAGTTTAGTATTATGGTATAGCTGCAAGCGCTGGGTACATTTTGGCACCTCTTCTTAAGCAAAATTAGTCAACTTTTTCTGGTCTGTTAAAAACAAAAGCAAAGATTGATTAGATCTCTATCATTTTATAAGCTATATCCGCTTTCTATAAGCTTCAGACTGGAATGACTAGCTGCATAGCAGTAAAGCCTACTTTTTACATTCACATACAGGTGATCAGATCATGGCTARATAGCTTGCAAAGAGCGATCTTTACGTTTTTTGATAAGAAGAATCAAAATTCGTGCTTGTGCGAATTTATTTAAATCTCACTGAATATGAAAGATATTTTAYAAAAAGTGATTTCGGCAATCATTATATTACCTTGCCATAGCAATACCTATCAAGTTGAAAAATGTCATYAATCAAAATGTCTATCTTCGTTTGGTGTCCGTACTGCAAAAGACAACTTGATCAGATAAGGTAAAGCTGAGAAATTTATGGTAAATCAACATTGCATAGATATTGAGATATGAAGTGAAGACGCAAGGAGTGGTTRCTAAGGAGGCCATATACTTATCAAAATTATACCAATAGAATGATTCGAAAAATCGGGCGCACAATCTAGATAGAAATCTTTCCCAACTGAAGAGCTATTCAGACACCCATAAACAAATGTTTTAGCCGACTAGTGGACAAGAGAAAACTTGTTGTGAAGATGTTCCACCATTTTTCGAATCTTCTTCAGTCTAGCTCCGCCATCTTGAAAGGTAACCAYAGCTATAGCTACTATGTCGACGGAAGTGGTTCGATAAGATTGAGCTTGCACACTAATAATACAATGTATGATAGATACCTGGGATTGTCTGTAAATTATGTTGACGGCGATTTAYTAACAGGCATACCAGCCATGACGGATGCACGGCTAAATGTTGTTCAGTTAAGTGYATGTATTTCGGATCGATTTTATGAACTATTTGCTTTTGAGGTAGCGTCGAAGAGGCGTTTTTGGAGGTTGAGTAGCCTTTGTAAGACTTTATTCAGAATGTTAGCTAATGCCGTACAAAGGTAAGTGCACTTTTCCAAATTTTCTGCAAAGAACTTGATTAACAATGTTGCAAAATAAGTAGATTTTCATCACCTTCTTTACAGGTCTTACAGGTTCACTTAAGAAGTGTATAACAGAAAGTCGGCGTCGATGAACACTGACTTGGCAGCTTTGATGATATCTTTGAACAAATCAGCACAAATCTTTAGAACCTCCTTCTCTAYCCATCTTCTGTYCCGAATAGACGATGCGGCATGAAAGGACTGAGTTTAGGTGCTTTTCTTGCTTTGATCATTGCGATGSCATARTTCTTATCARCGATTCTGTGTGTCACCCATTTTRCTTTTGCTACGATAATTGGGCTCACTGAGGTTGTCGWGACTCATTACGTCTCACGACGTGCGGACTATCATCATACAACATRATCGAGGTTATTCACTACAGGTTGTCCTTACTAATGGTTTAAGTCTAATCCGCTAATSATATTTTAGTTTGCGGGAGAAAAATAAAATAGACGCCCGACATATTAAATGGATTAAATCTAACAAAGACTATTCAAACTATATGGAAAAGTATTTTACAAATTCAAAAACGTGCCTCTAAGCTCAAGCAAAACGGAACTACGTAATAGGAGATGTTGCTGGACCGGGACGATAATCGCGCGCTAATTTACTATGACGGTACATCAAAACATTGGATAACRCTAAGGATTGCGMGTACAGGGMAACAGAATCAGTTGAATTTSGTACACCCTGCCAGATTAGCGGCGAGACAAAGACAAAMTCGATAAATATAGATAAAAAGGCATTGAGCGCGGACAGAAAGAAAGGAATGCCAATAAAACAGTGTAAAAAGTGCCAAGCAACCATTGACAGATAATTTGTTTGAAACTCTATAGAAAGTCTAAAGCCGGTATACCTTTCAAAAAGAAGAAAATAGTTTTGTCCGTTTCGAACCCAAAAGCGAACACGCTGGACGTCATAGTGAAAGAGGGCGCTATCATAATTATTCAGTCAGTATTGCATGAATTAGTGGAGCTATTGCTATATTTAAAATGTCAGTACTGCGTGAGGAACACTAGAAGCAGCTGCAAAGACGATAAGGMGAGAAAAAAAGCTTTACACAGATCAGTAGATTAGGTTATTATAGCCGGCTTACTTTGCGAGTTTTTCAGAAAAAGACATTATCAGGAATACTTGGCAATACTTGCACATAATCAGATATCCTATTAATACTATATAGCAATCGATTTCTTCTTTCTTTTATTGTTGAGAAATAAAGTATAAAATGTATGACACCTAAAGGTGAACATGATCARTAATCGTTCTCGAACTTGTCACCAATATGGCCGCCGTATACGTCTTGTGAATACACCTGTTTTCAAAACCGTTGATTCAAAAAWCATAAATAGATAAATAAAATAAAATAATGAAAATAAACTACATGACTTTTTTTAAAGTGGCTTATTAAATATATATTACCCGAGTTTTCTAGGTTTTTCATTAAGTTATTAACAACGAACAACTATAATAAACCTCGGTATGCTTTTGAAGGCTCAACCAATCAGCGGATAAGTTATGTATATGAAAACTCTAATTGAAATTTCTTTTCAGTTTATCGATTTCATTGGGTGAACATATTTTGCTAAATTGAGAGGAAAAATAAATGAACAAAAAAAGAAAAGTAAGAATTGAAATAACACTGAATGAGATTCTCAGTAATGAGAAAAATGAAGAATTTCCCGAAAGTCCATAGTACATGTACACACAAAATGATCCATGTATAATTTTTTTTAACCGTCCAGTCAAAACAGCATTGCACTGTGAATTATGACACAAATATATCAATCAAATTATGATACAAATAATGAACAAAACAACTGTTAAATCAATGCAATGGCTCARGGGCATATTTTCATATGTGAATCACAACGAATGAATCGATCAAAGTAACTGAATGAGGAGACGATGAAATATGTCATGGGATAAAATATCTCGAAAGTACCGATGGAGGGATGCCGATCAAACGATGGATGATAGCCGAAAGAGGCAAACTCTAACCATATCAGCGTAGAATGACCAGAGTGATACAATAAATCAGAAAAAGATCCAAACATTGCGATGATGAATATTCGAAATACGTTTCTTCAATGACGTTTCCGAGAAAGAAAATCGACGTAAAAAATTCCATATGATACTTATACTAAACAAACGTACACAGTCCTATTAAATTCTGTACTGCTTTATTCAATCAGGTCAGATCCAAATCACTTGCCCGAGGGGAGATGGATACTCGATGTCATATCACAAATAGCTCCCAAGTGAAAGATATCCGTTTAAATGGTTTTAATGAATAAGTAACTTCCTCTGATCAGCAACGTTCAAGTGGATTGGCAGAGTTTCTAAAAGGTTTTATTAAAGGTGCTATGTCATCATGTTACAACTACAGTATTTGCTGGAGGCTGAATTAGTAGTTTGGCGTCTGTATAGCACTTATAAGAAATATCATTCAGTTTTGGCATTGTTGGATATTTATCGTGGATCTGTGATAGTTTCATTGCGAATTGAATTGATATRCACACAACCAATATGCTCTTTATAGACGCAGTTATWTATATTCACATCGCAGCCGCAACGCTCAGATTCGAATTGAAAATACTACAAAAGGAACCACAGCACCGGTGGCGGTGGACTACGGTAACGGATGTAAATTGCTTTTGTAATAAAATTTAAAGATTACATTGATTTGTGGCGCACAATAAACATATTTCTTTGACGTAAAGAGATAGATAGAGTAATTATCATACGCGTTAGTTTTTGGTTCACAATTTTATAGTTTTATCACTGCTCTTTTTTGCCCTCTTTTCTTTTACCCCCCATCTTCTATCATAAGTCTTTTTTTTTTCTCGGTTCTTTTTGTAAATAATTACTCATAGTCCAATCTTTTACTCTCTCTATATTTTTTTACAAAACAAAACAACAACAACAACAACAACAACAAAACAAACACAAACAAAAAAACTACATTTTTTTTAATGATTAAATAAATTTCAACCTGAAATCCATTCATATGCTTGTAGGGTTTTTTTAAAGTCTTTTTTTATTTACTTCAATGTTAATCTTTTTTTCCAATATTCGAACAGTTATACTCTCATAAAGTCGCCATCTTGAATTTTAAAGAAATAGTTGGTGGACGGTCTTATGTAAAAGTAGACATTGTTATATAGAGGACATATAAATGTATCAGTATAGAATTAATTCACACGCTATAGAAACTGATTAAGTGAATTATTGTTAAAAATATCTTTATGCGGTGTTATGATATTTTACGATGTTTCAAGATGGCGGTCATGCAGTATCGATAATGTCTAGTACTTTTTTATAACTGGTGAATTAGCATATTCCTCTTATAGATTAAAAAGTCCAAAACCGATTATTCAGCTCATACAGCGTACAACAATAAGGAAATTAGGCAAATTCCGCCTCAAAAGACTCAAAATTAGGTGTTAATGATGTATACATCTTAACACTAACTGAAAGTACATTGATCTCTGTTATCACTTAAAGAAATTTATATAACTGGATCAAACTGCTACTGCTCTCTGAAATATTATTATTATTATTATTATTATATAATATCATAAGTTAATTAATTTGCTAAATTTAAGATTATCATGTCATACTATATGTGCTCATCAAAAACCTTGAAGTTGAGTGACATGGATTTTAGTACATTCTTCAGAATATACTGATAATCCTATTATTATATGATGACTGACATTTCACTGTTTTCATTGGCTTAAGTAGTGAACCTTGAAAACAAGGCAGCACCTTACAAATTTCCAGGTATTTCCTGGAATATAACCTTGTCCAATGGCTCTATGGTTGGTAGTTCAACCCGTTCTTGGTCGTTAGTCGGGACCTATAAACGGGAGTGCTTAAGTTTTTYTAGCGTCCGKTGGAGGACTGGCATCTTTGAYATTGATACGTTTTCGTAGACGTATTTTACTCACCATTCCTACGGCTTGAAATTAACTAAGAGAATAACGAAACCTGACCCGGCATTAGTCGGGGCATGATATCAACACACTACAAACGTCAGGCAGTCCATGGCTACATATTGGTTTTTGGCAATTGTATTAATCCACTGTCGTRTATAGAAATCGATCAAATTAATTTACTGTTATTTGCCTTTYTGATTTGAACCGGCTGGCGGATAAAAGAAAAATATAAATCATTACAATCGAAATGAAAGCTTTAAATGATAAGCTCTACTCCGAGCCGAAAGGCGTGAATGTGTGTTATATTGCGTGGTGCCGTCAAATATAACGTTTCGATGTTTAAACTAACAMTTTATTATATTTGAAAACTGTGGTGGCAATATGATAATATCTCGGTATATAAACTCTTTTGATTTAATGTATTAAAGCGTTATTAATTCCTTGTGGACGGATGCCAAACGTCACGTTATTTTCACTCTCACAAATATTAAAACACACTCTTTAAAGTTTCGCTTTAATTACTGTCAAGTAAGGGCTTCTAGCTGTTGACTGACTACTGGAGCAGCCATTTACCGAGCTTTACTTTATCTTATCTTATTGTCCAAATCCACAAATGCATTCCATCCAGTTGACTAAGGAACAGATTTTATCATTTTTAAAATAAGTTATATCTACATTTATATCTATTCCAAAATAATTCGTTGTTCTCTTACCTTTAGTGGTGTTTTGAAGCGATTTCCCCAAAAGGAAAAATCGCCATTTTTATTGGCTAAATCTAATCTGTCTTGTACTAACCAAAATTAGGTTATGATTTTGGTAATGTCAGTTTTATCACGGTTATTTTTACGTTTGCTTTTAAAAATCCTGTCAAAACGAGGAAGAAAACATCAACATTTGTGTAAATTTAAGTGAGAAATCAGTCTCGGGAAATGGATAGCAAGGCCTTCTTGAGATTTGAATTAGCACACTACTTTATTTCTCAACGAGTTGATGTCTTTAGTTTGTGGTTTTTGTAAAACCTTTATCTTTCATGATTGTGCAACGGATGTTTTAAAAAGCTGGTATCTCGAAACAGCGACAAGTGATTGCTTAGTTGGGGTGTCCCCAAATACAGCTGAAATCGCCTTGTAATTAATTTGTACTGCCTGAAACTGCGCATATTACTGGCATTCCTCTTGCGCAACGACGCCCCTTGATGCTCAAACAAAAGGCCCACTAAAAAGTTTTTTTTGAATTATAAATTATATTGCGGGTATCAGGATATTTGAGAGATATTTTGTAATATGTAGAGAATGTCAATTAATTTTTTGAGCCCTTGAAATATGCCCTGGCAGTAATGCGGTATGCTAGACAAAGGGGCGGGTAGTTTGCTGTCCATCACTCGACTCCGCTGATATTGGCAACAGAGGCTCAAACTTGACTCGAGCATTTTACGTCCCATATAAGTTCGAAACTCTTATCGTTACTAGAGTCGCTTCTTATCTGTAGGCATTGAGAATGACTTGAAATCATGAAAATGAAAGATGACGAGGCCAAGAGAGTGGCTACGAGCGACGAAGATAAAATGAATCGACAGAATGGTGAAGTTGTGCCAGCTTGTAGCACTATGGACGACGTCCCTTCGCTGTCGCACGCGGCTCAAGTCAACGCGAATGGCAAAAGCCGAAGCAAACCTAGCCGTAAACGACTTAGCACTAGTTCCCCCGAAGAAGATATCATAGATGGATTTGCAATATCGTCCTTTACGTCTCTGGAGGCTTTGGAGGTAGGGATATATGCAGCTATTTTGCGACCTTCTTTATCGAACTGTAACAGCTCTTTCAAATGCAAGGCACTCAACGTTGTAAACATTGGCAAATATTACCAAATTATCCGTTAGTTTTGGTTCTTTGACCTTTGGGAGATAGTTCTTGAGGGATACAGATATGGAAAGTGGTCTTATTATTCCCTAACGACAAACTATTTCCTTATTCTTTAGCCTTTTTGTGTGCTCAAGGCGAGAAAGAACTAGAGCTTTCAATGTTTACTTTTCGTCAACAATTCCTATAAAACTTCGACATGAAGAGCTCTCGTCACAGCGTCGTACTCACCGTATTAACGTTGGAATATGATTCAAATAAATGAGATATTTTGATCGTGTAGTAGTTTCAAAAACATCATTCTTAACGATGTGTATTTGTAGACATCTTCGTGTCCATTCAATAAACTCCGCTAGTTATCAGATGGTCACGATGAACCGGTCACGATCSGAGTACATAGTTTTCTCTATATCAACTGTTCGCGTATGTTTTCATTCTTTAGGTTGTATAAACGATCGATACTCATATTCTATAGCTATATTTTGGCGGGCTAAACCACAAGAATAGCTCGATGCTCGGAGCAACAACCTTGTGTATCATGCCAGTGTCCCTTTGACATTTCGAACGGTGCTTTTATTTCGCTTCCTTCCGCACTTCCAGCTTCGAGACCTTTATTCATACCTTTAGTTTCARCTGTTTGATTTTCTAGCTATAAGAAAGTTTCCAGTGTGTATTTTGTAAATGCGCTGCATTTCAGGAATTATATATTTCTAAACGTTTGCCGATTCCTATGTTATTTAACTTACGCCCTAGCGACTCGAGTTCATTTTTCTCACTCCAGATTTTGACGGCAAACACTTCTGACTCTCATCAAACTTTAAAGTGATTTCAAAGGATCTACTAGTGGTGGTTGARCTAGACCAGCTATTCCCAAAAACTTTAATATAACTAAATTGTTTATAGTGTAACTTTATGATTGTAGAAGTATACGTAGTTTGTCTAGCATAAATCCTTGGGTGATTGGATTAGACGATCGGGCTTAAACGATTTGTAAGTTGCGATCAGTTGAATTTTACAATGTACGGATTGTTGATCTTTGCTGTTTTAGTCTTTTTAGGCGTTCCAATTGTTGGTTACTAGCGATATGTTTCCCCKAGGGGCTTGCTATTGAAATATCTTCATCCAATCTCTCTAAAATCGTCCTTCATAAATTATCGGATCTCTAGAATAYAACTWTTTGTTACCATGAACAAGATATTGAAAAACATTTGTGCCAAAAGGTTTTTCTGAGTTTAACATGTTGAATGCTGTTAACTTGATTACATCTTCGAATTTTTGGAAAAAAGAAATGAAAAATCGTTTGTTAAGTCTGAGCCTGACCATACTATCTCAGAAAACTTTATGAATTCTTTCATCTAACCATGAAAACTGCTAAAATATCCTAATTTTCATCAATAGTTTAATAACCTTGATCCTAGTAAATCTACCAGTTTAATTACAATTTCAACAAATCATCACAACTATTGTTGTTCCTTGGTTTCTGTGGCAATCTTCATGTCCACTAAGAATCCAAGCTTTAGCAAATACTSAAAAAAGACTCCTTCATGCTATTGTTTCATGTAATACTCTAGATGGTTATCTGTGTGAATTTTCCGATCCAAAGAAGTGTTATGTACTATTGATGCTAGATGCTCAAAGTACAGACTCATATGTCATCCCAAAAAGATGTTATGAACTGATGCAAGATAACTGTACTTATTAACAGGAGTTGTATGTACTTAGGAATAGAGTACATGATTTATTTATTAACCTGTATGGAATAGCGATCTTTGGCATCTTTGCTAAGTTAAYACAAACTACAATAACAATAGGATTGATATTGTGTAACATTTAGTCTCAGTATATTATTTGTTATTCATATCTAAAATAAAAAAATATATTTAAAATTACCTCTAGATAAATTACATTCACCCTCCTTCATTAATTCTGTAAAATTTAACAAATTATTAATGTCTATAAGTTTCACTTGTAAATTAGGATATCTTTATATAATATTTATTCTAGTTTTCTCATCCATATCTATAATATATTTTAACATTAAACTGACAATTGCAAGGCAATTATATTAGATTGTGGTTATTCATTACTATGGGAACATCAGCTGTTGTTTGGACATACCTATTCAAAATATACTGTTAAATATGAAATATCTATCTTTATTTCAGTCTAAAGGGCAAAGCAAACCAGGGATTATAAGCGATGGCAGGCCCAGCAACAGTGGGAAATACAACCTTGAAAATGGCCTGAGCAACAAGAAACGCAGGGCTGAGAAGCGCCGTGCCAGAGTGAGTATAGACTAGAAATGACTGTGTTGATGATTCAATTGGAAATGCAGCAGAGAGATCTATCAAAAGTTTCAGGCATAAATTGATTCTTGCAAAACTCCTGCTGAGTGTCCAACAGAGTTGGAGCAGCTGCAGGCAATTAACACTACAAGACATTATAAAACTAGTAGCCTGAAGGAAACCTATACAAATACCCAATTATCCAACAGACTCTTGTTGTTTTTCATGGTTTGATATATATGATTCTTCTTTCACACTTGAGTGTATAGCTTGACAGGACTTATACACTCATCTTTTTTCATAATTTCCTTTTGTTTGAYCACCTACACTCCCAATGAGACTCTTACTCTGATTGGCACCTTGAAGGGTAAAAAGGCATTGCTTCAGYTGTGCATATTTGAATATTTGTCTTTGCAAGTAAGTTTAATTTTGAAGGTGTCAGTAACACGTTATTTCATTTGTGTAGAATTGACAGGTTCAAAGGGTGTTTGGCTTTCATCTTCTCTTGTCATTTTAACTTTCAAAACTGAAATCTCATTTGATCACAGCTGTGTTACTTTGTAGTCTCTATAATACTTCACCATGCTTGCTTTCATCAAGAGCCTGACTGTCATTAAGACAAGAAATACTTCCCTCCAATACCTAGTTCYGCAAGTTCAATGTTTGCTGTTTGTTTAATATACAATCCACTGTTGACTATAGCATTTCTGTTATGTTGTCTTTGTACTAAWTCCTAACTGACTGGATATTTTCAACTTGAAATAATCCACTTTGGGTTGAATCCAGGTGGTTTCCTTTACATGTATTTTAARAAAGATTGAAAATTTACATGATATATATCACTATAAGGGTAAATTGATTACAGTAGTACACTTCATTAAACAATCTTTAGAAGCCAAGGCCAAAAAGGTACTTTATAAAATAGTATGATTATTTTGCTGATATTTGGTATAATAAAGCTGTAATTACAATGATTAATTATGTTCTTTTTATAAAAAATCTGCAAGAATGACACTACGTAAAACAAAATTGTGCTCAAGTTAATTTTTTTACTTTCTATTTACCATAATTTACAACCTACCCCTCAAATTAAGGATTTATGCATACCGTATAAATTTGGTTTCAGACAATACTGTATTAATTGTTTGCCCATTCAAATCATGAAACAATTGCTTAAAGTGAGTTATAGATGTATCTGATCCATTGCATATGACAAGACAATGTACAAATCAATATGATTTGAGTACTTTGTAAGTTTTCTATAATAATTTATGTGGACAATGCATAAAAGCACCTTATTTAAATTACATGTATGTCCTACATGTATTATGCATGTTYGTTTGGCAAAATTGCAATGTCTTAACTCCAAGAACGAATGTTTTAAATTGAAATTTCTTTAAGTTATAGTAACATTTGATGGAAGTGAATTATTAATTTGATGCTACAGAATTTTTATCAGTTAGACTTGACAACTTTTTGACAATATCTACACATTCTATGATCTTAACTGTTTTATAATAATTGAGATCAGAATTGAGTTTCCTCATAATTTGCAAAACCTTTGCTATTAAAATGTTTGCAWGAATAAGAAGTCATCATCACATAGTAACAATGCACTGAAGTACCAGGTTAAAGATCTCACACCAACCATAGCTATCCCAGATCAGCCATTATACACTACCCATATTAATTATTAAGTAGGTAAATTATTTCTCTTTGAATTGACAGGTATAAAACGATGATATATACCTTTTTATATACCCTTAATCGGCATATATCCTATCAATAATAAATACCAGCAGCTGCTTATCAAAGTGTCATGAATGACCTGTTAAGATGTAAGTGTGGATTCGTTCATCAATTCGTTGTGTTATTTGGCCAATATGCCCATATGTAAACTGTATTAGAAAAAACGTTAACTCTGYMAACCTGCTGTTGATCCTTACAGGTATTTGATATTTTATATTGTCATGGTGTCGAGGTACTAGTGCTATATATGATGGCTTGAGGCTCTCAGTCTGTACCACAAAAATGTGTATTTGATACTTTGTAGAGGCATGCGTAAGTGCGTAATTATCGTGTGCAAGTGCAATGTCTAYCCTTTAGAAATATCACATTGTGTAATATAAAAGATTATTGAAAATGAAGGAGAAAATGTATGKTAACCTTTTGATAAARTACATGTCAAAATTGATTAGAATGATGAGAGCTATTTGCCAGACAAATGAAATATAATATGGAAAAAAAACTTAGAGCTACTGATGAGCTCAGTCCATTGCAAATGTTTTTTTTTTTTTCGGCTGAGACAAATGTTATTTAATGAAAATACTGGCAATGCTTTCATCAGAAACTCATAAGTTTCTGCTTTCAGCCCATCAGCATTTTTTTCTGACAGCTTACATTTGAGTATTTTTTATAATTAAATATTATTTCAAAGGAGAGTGTCACTGTTTAATAATATGATTATGAGTTAAAACATATCTTAAGGTGGTAGAATTGAGTAAACGTTCAATAATCCCTGGTTTTTGTATCAATAATTGATTGCTTTAAAAGAGAAAGTCAGTTTGAAAGGAAAAGTTTTYTAAGTTAAGATGATTTAAAAGCCTGGAAAGTGAAAGTTCTACATATGTAAAGAAAGAGAAATACTACACCAACCACAAGTTGTTTCATTTTTTTATTGCTCTTCAATCTACATCCAATTACTGCAATACATTAAAAGTGCACTTTTCAAAGTAGATATATGAATAGAAACTCCTCTTGTGTATTGATGGCTTGTGTCTAGGTTGATGTTGGTTCCACCACTCTGTGTGATCATAGAAAGCCACTGGCATATATCACCTCAAGTACTTTCCACTTGAACTCCTACATTTGGTAACACTGAAACTTGAAACTACATTTGCAGTCAATAGCTAGAACCATAAGTAGAATTTAACCTTTCTAGTAATACCCAAGTTAAAATTACATTGGCCTTGAATATTTTTTTCTGCTTGTCTGTTTTTGATGGAAATGTTTGTCATTCAAAACTACTTTCTTTGATTGATAACTGAAATAAAGTTCAATGCATTCATGAATTAATTTACATGTTGGGGCACATACTTAATAGTCATGTGTAAATCTTCTTTATCTCTGATAACTTGAAGGGGTTTAAAAGGATTAGGTCCCCTTTTCACTAATGCAATTGAAGCTCATAGAGGATTCTTTTAGCTCCTAGTGATCTTTGTACATGTTTGTACACTGTAACCCAAGGAACTGTTAAGTTCAATTTTGTGCTGTGGTAAACTTAAGTTGTTTTATTTTTGCAAAAATTGTGAAGCATTATATATGTATTTTTTTATATTATTGTCATAAGCTTAACAAAGGCAGTTTAAGTATTTTGTTTAAGTATTTTTTTGTGCATTTGTATTTGTACTATATACAATATTTATTGAGAAATATAGGCAGAAATTGATAGTACATAGTTGTCCTCAGTTCTGTTATTAGAAAATAGTCTGGTTTCAATATTGTTTGACAAACAACATAATCTCACAAGAATTTAAGATGAGGATGGAAACAATAGGCAAACACTTTGCTTCCCCTGAGTCTTGTCCTTAGTTCTTTTGTRTATAATCATTATAGCAAAATTGGACTGTTAATTAAGGAGTTACTTCAAAATTAAGTGGTTTTGCATAGTTCCTTTGCAATACGAAATGCACTGTTGCATTGCAGATATAATTAATTGATAACTTATGGTGTCATGTCATTACTTGTCATAGTGTCATTGAATGTTTCATTCATTTGACAGTTGCTGCAGTCACTGCTTGCTATAAGAATTTGCCTTTGGCACAAAGGTTGTTGCCAGTTAGATTGTCCCAGTGGTTTCTTTGGTAGCAGTCATATTATTATGCTCAGCTGGTAAAGCATCGGTAGTACAAATCCGAAGGTCATGGGTTCGAATCCCAGCGAGGCCGGAAATTAATTTTTCCGAATGCATTCCTAAGGGTCTTTCTCCCGGAATTGCCTCATTTCTATATCGTGTCTATAGAAGTCATATTAGTTGTTTCATAACTTCAGATTTTTAAATGCCACTAATCATTGGTTAATTTACTCTTCCAAAATAAAATTATGGGCATTTAAAAAAAATCGAAGTTAAAGTCGTATGCAAATCAGGACAAATCTCTTGCTCATATAAAGATGCGGTCACGGCAATGTTTTTCCATTGTGTTTACCTTATGAATTATTAATGAATTTGATAAAACCAAAATAAACTACAAGGCACTTCTGGAGCAAGGGAGATGTCATACATCTGATAGCTATAACTTTACTGTGTTATGTACTACCTGGATGAAGAGAATCTCTGCTATAGCTGCAAASTATCTGACCCAATTACAACACATGATAACCTGGTGTGGGAATTGAACCCAGATGTGTGGGACAGAAGTTTAAATCACTACCTTAGTGTAGGAGACAATTCTGAATGAATTTGATGAAGTGCCTAGGTAATTTGAACTTGTCTGTCATGTTTGAGATTATTTCAAGGTAAATGTAGGACTCTTGTTCCACTGTTTGGAATATTTAATCTCATCATGTAAAGAAATTGCTGCATGTGTATTTCATGGACATGGTTAACCTCAAGCCTGGTATTCTGTACGGCTGCAAATCCTACCATCCCTGGAATCACTGATATTCCCTAATTTATCTCAGTGGTCCTTACGATTATGTAGTAACGCCCTCTAGTGATCTCGTTGATCAAATGGAAGTGGTGTCACCAAGATTACTGAACTATTTTCATAATAAATATGGGATAACTTGAAATARTGGCAGATCTATAGGTTTATCTTCCAAGCTATGTAAATCTTGCCATTTTTAATTAATTTTACAATAAGATTAAAATGACTTCAGAACATAACTACTCAATGATTGGATATCTGGTTGATTGCTCTGGTAATTAACAGGGTCTTGTCTGCAGTCTTCATATAAGTCTGAAACTGAATCTATTAGGTATGCATATAATCGCCAATTGATGGTTTTATCCCCTTTGGGACCTTTCAATTATTGATTTAGGTCTCTTTGACAACATCTGTTGACCTTGAGATTTAATAAAGCTCTGTAAACAATTCACTTGGGGCTTAAAAGTTAATTGAATTTTTGTGGCTGAATAAGTCTTATTAATAGTAACACATTAATTGATTCACTGAGTTATTAATGAAATCATAAATTCATAAAAAATTATTGTTATTTATTTATTGATTTATTTGTTTTATTATTAGTTCTATTTTGATTGATTAATTTTATTCTAGTGTACATGATCAATGGCAAGAAATGTTGATTTAGATCATAATAAAATAAGATGTTCTTTAAGGACATTTGCCTTTTGTGTCTGTTACCTAATATTTTGAAATGCAAATAACAAAAAAATGTCTATAATATTGTTTTTTTTATGTGTACTGCAGAAGAATAAACATTGATGGCCAGGAAAGCAGCAGTTTTTCTTCTGTTAATTTGACATCTCTTTTGTATTACAAGCACCTGTTTGAGATTACATTGTCATGATTTAAATTTAGTGCACATGTCAAACTAGACATTGGATATTCTTAATGTATAAATTTGAAGCACAACATTTCATGAACAATATCCTTAGAAGTGAGTTTTTTAGTTTGAAAGCTAGCAATAATTTGAATATTGTGGTTTTTATTTAGATGCAAGAATCAAAACTAAAGGACTCAGATTCAGAAGATAATGAAGAATCTCGAAAAACAGATGGAAAAGAAAGGCAAAAGGAGAAGAAATCAGCCAAAATTGATGGGGTATGTATTGGGGCTGTTATTGATGTTGTTGTCATGCAAGATTGTACATCTGTTCATCTCAAGCTGTAAAATAGAGATTGTCATGGTTATTATTGATTATTATTGTTGARATAATACACACTAAGAATTTTACTTGGAAACTACATGTAGTACTTTTTTGCCTGAATCCAAGGCAAYCCTTTCTGCTTATTGAATTATATAAAAATGCATTATATTATGTAGGTACTGTAACTACCCACATAAATTGTGTATTTGCTGGYAAAATATAGCATACTCTTATAGCAAATCTACATGACGTATAGTTATAGATTAATTACATGTATAAAACTGGCCTTAATGGTACATGTATTTAATTTAGATTTAGGCATTTRGCTGAAGCAGGTTAATATTGTATATCATTCTATATAAACTAACATGAATTGACACACAGTTGCAAGAATCAAAAGAATAAAGATTTCCTATTATCACTATGAAAAGTTGTGTCTGGAAATTGCAATCATTATTTTTTATGAGTATTTCAGAMAAAGAAAAATATTTATATAAAAAATTTGCCTTGCTTAATTATATTTGGCCTTAAACAGTTGTTAGTATAGGACAATAATCAAGATATTTTTATTTAATTAGGTGGAGAGTAACATATTTATTGCTTTGCATTTCATGTGCTTGTGTGCCATAAATATTTAAAATCATTTTAGATTGTTGGGTTATTTTTTTCATAAAAATTTGGTGTTGCTTGTAATTTTTATACACAGTTTTCCATAAAAAATTAAAATAAATAAATAAATAAATGATAAATAAACAAAATAAATAAATAAGTAAAGTATTTTAACAGTTTAAAAACTGTTTTTGAAATAGCTTATTAGTAATTACAACAATATAGATCTGTCAATATTTTCTATAATGATACATATCTTTTTATTAATTGTTATTCCTATATAATGTATAGTATTTTCCTTGAGGCTCATCAATTAAGCAATACATGCAGTATTGAGCATGATATTGAGAGTCATGCATACTTTTTAATATTGGTCACATAATTTGATTTCTGGGTGTATGAATTTCGAGAAAAAAAATTACGAATCCCAGTAGAAATGATAATTTTTGAGTTCTGTAAGTGTCAACTTAATGTGACATTTCAATTATTACAATATCCTCACCAATCCATCATTCTTTTAAGTACAACTGGCCAAGTATTTGCATCAAGTGGGTATTTTGAGTGTGGTACTTGAAGTAGTGAATACAAAGCCTGGAGGCCATTAGTATCCCTCAAGTGTTTTCTAGTTTGAGTCTCAAGTACTCCACTTGAGGCTCTCATTGCTGCTTCCACAGAAAACACTTAGTACAGAGGCTAGGAGAGGAGCTCCTTTGTCAAATTGTCACTCTCATAAGAGCTTAATGGTGTATCATTTAGGAAATATGGTCASTAAATTAACGAGTTGTAAAGTTATTTTGGCCTCGTTTTACAAAATCTGTTCCACCTTGCTGACTTGGAAGTTTCTGGAAAAATCGATGGCTGAATTTGTAATGATTTAAATTTTGTTTAACTTTCAATGCTAGAATAATGTGTTTTGTGTGATATAAAGACTGAATGTACTTCCTAAAGTCAGTTTTGTTGGTTTAAATGGACTTTAAACTTATAATTTTAGCTGAACTGGTAAATATTCCTGTTATAAACATAGTTTTTTTTGGTTGTTTGAGGGCATAGATATTCAATCTAATGGACTTTGGACTAGTGAAAAAGCTGAATAAACAAAATCAAAAAGTCTATTTTTCTTTGAAGTATTTCCAATTAGTGTTGGCAGACATTTCCAAATTAGTTTACATATTGAATTTGAGCAGCAAATATCATTCTTCAGTCAAATGGCAATGTTTTATTTATACAAAACAAATTGCTCTATTTTTCATCTGGTTGTTTTTAAGAGGAAGGATTTACAACAGGAAATGACTGAAAGTGCAAATGCTCTCATAGCAAGGTGACCTCATTGATATTTAAGGGTATTTTTTTTATTTTCATCTTGTCCTTCTTGGTTTTAGTCATGATTATAATTTACTAAGTGCACCATGATTTAATAGCATTGTTTTATAAAACATAAAATAACACTTGGTGTTAAATATTAGATAAATATTATTATTATTATTATTATTATTATATCAAATACATGTAGGTATACAGATATTTGCAATAATTCATGCCCAATGTCCATATTATATCAAAGTGGTCTTAGAAATTACAGAACGTGCCATAAACTGATCATACTGGACAACCAATAAATAAATAAATAGATAAATCATCTACTTTATAATGTTTAAGATCAGTTTGATATACAGTCATTTGGAACATGGCAGATGGGGTTTTGTGTGTTACAGTTTATTAGTTAAATTGTTAGACATGGCCTTGCATTGAAATTCAACTGCTGACTCTGTTTATGATACTTGTGTAGATGYTAAAGATGTGTTCTCATATTTCAGAATCATTCAGATTCAGGAGGATCTGTTGATGGTGGCTATATAGTAAGTAAATCAACTTGATTCAATGAGCACTAGAAAGGAGTAGTAATCACCTAGGGAACATTCTACTCAGAATTGTTCAAATACACTGTATCTTGCATCACCTCCTTCACGACCCTCATTCCTTGCCCCCACCATGAACTCRTGAATCCAGGTCCAATCTSTCAAGCCCACTCAACAGCCCCTGGGTTCACAAGGATGCTTGTGATCTTAATAAATTTTATATTGAGTGTATAAGTTGACGTATGATATGGTACATATGACAGGATGCTAGACTGCGTAGCGGMTCTAGGGGAGGGGGAAACAGAAGTGGTGGAGGGTCAGGGGCCTTTTTTCACTCCTCACCCCCCACCCCCTCCCTTCATTTATCCCGCTTCTCTCCTCCCCTAGATATGCTACGCAGGCTTATAGGATGCATTCATTCCATACTAACTCAATCGTATTTATTTTTGCTTGCGTTTWCTTTCACGAAATCAAATTTCGASGCATATTTCTCGAGCATTAATTTTCGAGTTTTTGTCATATCATTGCAAGTGTATGGACAATTTTGCGTTAACATTTTTCGCGGGTCTTGAATTTCGCGATTTTTTTTTACTCCCAGAAATTAGTACAAACAAGATACTTTCATAGAAAATCGAAAATTATTCTAATCTTACTTATGAATTTGTATATTTTTTTCAGTGTGATGGGGAGAGTGAAGATGAGAGGGTAAGYAAAAAAACATTTGTCTTACCTTATGATGTGGTTTTGGTTCTGCTRTAAATCTGTTTTTGTTCTTTCAATCAATCAATTGATCAGTGGTATCAGTATAGAGGGGGAGATATCAAGATAAAAAAAGGCAAATTACGCCTTAATGTAGAACTAAATTTTACTTRTTTTTTCTTTTAAAAATTCATATTTACATTGCATTATAGATATCGCTAAATCAGCTAGTCAAATGCTYAGCTCGGGTTGACTGTGATTGATACCCAAGAATGTGCTGCATTTGGGATTGATTAGTTTATCCATTTAGGCTTATCAATACTTATTAGTAATGAGTGATATTTGTTTTACGGATTAAGTGGTTTAAGTTTCTTTCCTCGTTGGGCTGCCTGTGGTTGCCACTCGCTACTTGAGCGACAAACAGGAGCAAAAACTGGAATAGTTTTCTTCTTCTAGAGTGTTGACTAAAAACTTCATTAGCTATAAAATGAGACGTTGAGTCAAGTTATCGTTAAAATGCAAGCCAGTGACAAATACACTTGTCTTAGATCTTAACATCTTAACAATGTTGCGTTGCAGGTGTCTGATACTGAAGGACCAACTTCTAAAAAGGCCACCCACCAAGGTAAGCAAATCTAGACCACAATGCAATAGGAATTTGCATGATGGCGTACCTTTACCACAACTACCAATTAAGCCTTGTGCATTTTCTTTGTTACTCAGATTTTTAATCTTTWTGGAGATTAGTGAAATAAGTGGTACTAATTACTTTACAAAGGAAAGTGGGCAAAGCATTCCGGTAGTTGTAATATGTGACGCATCAATGTAAATCGCCTATTGATCGTTTTCCAATCATTCCCATGATATACAAGACCGGCGGGCATGTTGGAGGAATGATCAATAGATACTAATGAGAAATGTTTTGTTGAAGTTCCTCCAAGATGATCGCTGTGACGTATAGTGAAAACTGAGAATACGATGCTATTTCAATAAATGCTTATGTTGGTGATATGAACTATAGACACCAACAAGAAATCCTTTGTCAGTAAACTACCGTCGTCTTTGTTATTTGTACAATARCGATGTGTTTTCGTAGCGCTCTTTTATGGTTCGCAATAAAGGAATTAATTTAAACAAAACAAAACGCTTTGAAAGCAAAGCGTGGAGGAGTCCTCAAAAAATGACCGTCGAGACATATGTATGTTTCTTTTGTTTTATTTTTTTAATATCTCTTTGCGTATTCATAATGTCAATACTGATATATAAATCTTACATTCTTCTACAGTAACATCACTGTTTAATGTGAAAGAAATTCTCAGTTCCAATGAAACCGCGACGACTGATCTGAAAGATGGCGATTCACGCCCAGTATCAAAGCCCTCCGACTGGCCGAGGTATGATAYCAACGAACGTAAAAAAAAACAAGCATTCATGTGCCTTCGTTCATATATAATATTGTGTATTAGCTTAAAAAATTACTAAATTTCGCTCACTGCGAGACTTGGAGTTTTTTCTCCACTATTCCTTGTAGCCTGGATAAATGTACCATTAATTTTGCATTTCCAGACAGCTCGGAATGTACTCTATCCGTTCCGCTGCATTAGAAGGTCGGTTTAAACGCCGAAATTCACGTGTGGTGATTTGCTCACTATATCGCCTCATTCGTATTCGGCACACGAGAGATTCGAAGKTCGAATCGGGCATTACTTTGACTCGTATTTGTCATTGATATTTTAATCATTTGCTGTGTGGGATGGGCTGCYTGTACGTGGAATCGGTATTMCTTCGATTTTCTAGTAAGAAGATACRAAAATTGCGCACAATTTCTATCTTGTCCATTATTTGTAAAGAMATGGAAATGGACGGTATTTCTTTTTACATGTAATTGCAGAACATTTTACATTCGTACTCTAAATAATTTTTTGTTTCAGTTCTGCTGCAAGTGTAATTCCAAGACTAGGMTCCCAAGCTTCCGTTACTAGTTCCTCGAGCTTACCACGGCCACTCTCMTCAACGTCAACCATTACGTCACACTCAATGGCGTCATCGTTTGGACATACTCATCCTTCAACGTTATTTCCACATTTCCCATCATTCCATTCGCCGTCTGGGCCCTTACCGTATCCTCATGGTCCTGGCGATGCGTCATTCCCCTATCCAAGTAAGATCCTTATTAGAGGGTTCGTGCTACTCCTTGGAATCAATAAAAAGCTCTGGAATTGATATATATGTTATTCGTATAAAATGAAATAATTGATACTCATTGCTTTCACTTGTTATTGAGGTCATATATCAGTTGAAGTTTTGATTGCGTTGTACTTCGCGATGTTAAAGTTTGCCGYTTATTTACAGGGCAATTCAGAGGGAAAGAAAATGTTGCCCCGTATGTTATTGGATCAGGTAAATATGTTCATATATGCCATTCGGTGTGTTATCCGCATTTCTGTACAGGCTCCTCCCCAGGCAACATATTTTCCTCCTTTGGGCTTCCTTTGTAACGGTCATTTTGACCGCTAGGAACTAGTGACGAGAAATGAAAAGTAAGAAGAGCCTCCCCTATCTCGCTCCCATTCTCCCTCATCTTGCTCCCCCCAAAAAAGGCAGGAGGCCCGTCACTCTTTGTGATATCTGTGGAGGAGGCTAATTTCTGTATCTTCTTATTTGTGTTGCTCTGTAGGTCAAGACCTTTTAAGACAAGAACTCAACACACACTTTCTACGCACACACTCAGATCGATCACACTACAATCTTCACTATGAGAATCATCAACACCTACACAACCACCAACATCAACACCAGCATCAACACCAACACTTCCACTCGCCTCCAGCGATTCCTGTGGTACCAGCCAGTCCATTACTAGTTCCTGGTACACCTGCAATGGTTAGTACTCATTCAGTCTCGGTTCACGCTTGTAAATGGTTCATTGATTTTTTTTTTTTACTAAAAATATATATATTAATGAATACTGACCCGTAACAGGCGTTTACGTTTACGTACGTGTGGTACATACGTTCGGATAATATACATGCCTATGTCCACGCATAGGCGCGACTTTTCTCTCACAACGTTTCGCTCACATTTGATTTATCTGTTTTTGTTTATGCTTTTGTTTTGTTTTAGTTTGTTTTGTTTTGTTATGATTTTGTTTTGTTTTGTTGTAGTTTATTTTGTTTTCATATACACAAAATACAATTTAAACTAATRCTATTAATATTCTCGAATCAATTTCAGTCTCATCACGGCGTTCCTCCMTCGCCGCATTCAAGCGGAGCAGCCTCAACCATTCCACCTCTCATTCACAGGGTAAGTAAATGAATTAAAATGGAAAACTATCGAAAAAGGAATGGAAGGGTATGAACTATAGAGCAACACTGGCAGTGTAACTAGTTGCTGAAATGACCAAACATTTATAGTATTTACGGTCAATCACTACTGTCAGAACGAAGGTTGTAGTTGAGTGAGTATACAAAAACAAACATTTGAGGGATTGTGTTAAACAGTTGTTCTACTGGACATCTTTGTTGTTGTTATTTATTGTTTGTTTTTGTAATATTTCAAAAATATGAGCGGAAGACCTTTAAGGGCATTTTAGAGCCCATAAAGGTCGGACGCGAATATTTTATATTGCTTATCAAATTCCAACATAAGTTAAAGCATATTTTACTAAAAACTTCGAGATATTCGAATATTCCTTCGAAGTTAAAGTTGTATGCAAATCAGAACAAATCTCTTGCCCATATAAAGATGCGATCACAGCAATGATTTAATTTTAAGTAATTTTAACAAATATTTATTCTAACATTGGTTGGAATAATGATGTTATTGGTGAAACGGGCATAGATATGTCGGGCCCATTTTTGAGTTTATCGTTTTTACCTTGTGTATTTAGAAGCATGGAAGGTGGTGCGCGTCACATGTCCAAATTGCATGGCAAATCTACTATCATCAACAAAAAGTAAATACAAATTCTTTCTTTTTATCATTATATGATTTAGTTTCTATGTGTTTTGTGTTATTTAGATTGGCTGATTTTCTTTGCTATCATCGTTTTGCTGATTCATATTTTCATGCGGGCTTGATTTTTTCTTCCTCATAATATTGTACTTTCATATCTGATTTTTTGTTTGTCTGTTTWATCCCATYTAAGGCGACTAGGCTGGGTAATGGCCTTGAAGAATATCAAAAACGTTTTTAAACGTTTTTTAACATTATAAACATTTACGCCTCTATCTCGGTATTTGTGTTACTTTGGCAATCAAGCATTGCTATTCTATAGATGTTTACTCTCAAATTCCAATCCCTCACATTCGAAGCTTTTGATTACTATTAGTAAACCTGCCAAGTATGTTTCACGTCATTTTCCGTGTCTCTTTTCAGTATTTCTTTAGATCGCATTTCCCAATCAAACATGGAGGGTGCGTGCAAGCCATTAACCAGTCAAGTCGCCTTAAAGATGCTTCCTTTATCCGTGTCACACACCAATGTATTAAATCAATTCAGTTGATATTAACGGTATTTGCTATTCAGGTCCAAGCGGAATTACACAACGATCCCCACGTCAAGCCTGAGCAAATTCCCGTAAGTCGTGCGGGGAATGCGTTATCGCTGCACTCGAGGCAAGGTATTCATGATGTAGGTTACCGCTCACCACATAATCACGGCGGTCAAGATACAGTCAGCCCCATCGCCGTACAACCACACATAGGAGAATCCTCTAGGCAGAGAGGTATGTCGTCTGATAACAGAATCATTGTATTAGAGAGTACCTATTTATCATTTAGATTTTAATCCTTTTCTTTTCCTTCTGTAGTTGGCGCGTTTCTTAGTTACGCTCCAGTCGTCCCAACTCCTACCAATTCCGACATGCGAGCCGTTTCTCCATATGCTAGACAAATGGCGCACGGTCGTTCCAATGGCATCATAGGTCTGGGAAGTAGTCCAGGTTTACCCGGAAGTAGCAGTTATCGTAGTGCAGCTGGAAGTAATTCTTTATCAAGCTCAGTTTATGGGTCTTACAGTGGACTGGGAGGCATAAGCCGTGAGTGGGAACGTCTCCATGGAAACAGTTCGTCGTTGTCATGGCTGAATCAGGGCGTATTTGAGAGAAACAGAGAAAAAGACCGGGAAAGAGAAAGGGAACGGGAAAGAGAACGAGAACGAGAGAGAGAACGGGATAGGGAAAGAGACAGAGAACGCGATAGAGAGAAAAGCAGAGATCGAGAAGGTGACGTAGAAAAGCAAAGAGAAAAAGACAGAGAACCAAACACTTCGCGTCTTGATTTAGACAGCGAAAAGACAAAAGAATCTGATAAATCAGTCGAAAGAAGTCGTTCACCATCAAGACCTCATCGCCCGACAAGTTTCCACATTGCGAGTCTTACGGGTGAAAACAAAGTGGACGCATCGCCTGTCGCTGAATCGCGACTACCTCCCGAGCGACCGACATTTCCCGGTTCGCGTGATCGACGAGAGGAGGATAAGAGGAGTCCCGTTGAAGAACGCGACTTAGTAATGTTAAACGACAGACGAGGGACATCGCCAGGTCCTCATTTACATAGCGGTTCAGCCGCAGCTCCTAAAGTGGATAAAAGACTATATGAAACAGAACGACCCCTCGAGCCGTTTGATCTCAGTCGTTACGGACGACCACCTTTAAGTAGAGGGCCATGTCTGTCATTCCCTCTTCCACAACCACCAATGTTTCCCCCAAGCTCTTCATTCCCATACCTTCACGGCTCAGCTATGGCTGCGGTTACTCACCCTCATTTCTTACCCCATGGGACACGAGGCATGATGGCGCCTCATTTTGGTCCATTGGGCCCAAGAAGCCGAAGTCCTTTGGAYGGACCGGAAGCCATTCACACTGAAAATCGTCCATAAGAATCATGGAAATGTTTGTACAGATAAATTAAATATATGCACCATGATCAAATATATTATTACGACCATTGTCTGACATTTTTCATGGAGTTTCACTTGCTGCCATAATTACTTATCTACGAAGGTTCAAAATCTTTCGGTCCCAGTACTCCATCTGGTCAATTTGAAGGCTTGGCGACTTAGGGTTATTCCTAATCAATCCAGAATTAATTTATGAGTTGCACGTGGTTTTTTGACACTACTATTCAATTATTTTTTTCGAATATTTGATTGATGTGCTTCAGTTTACGCTGCTTTACGCTATGGTCATTTAGAAAAGAAATCAAAGTATATTATTGAAAAGAAAAACAATGATTCATGATTTGGATCTCAATCTACGATTTCTTGTGAAGAAATTGGTACCGTTTATATTATTGCAGTCCACGTTCTATGATTTATTATCTTATTGGTTATATATTATGCCATGACCGAGGTCTTCAATGGTTATTGTATATGGAGTATAAAAGGTGCCTTACATGTCATTGGTGAAGTGAATCTAATGGAATKCATTGGTGCGTGTGTTCATATAATGTATCAACTGAACTTGTGTTGGGCACACAGGGTTACCATTCCTCTCCTATATATTGGAATATACCTCTGAAATCAGGAGTTACTCAACAAAATAAATTCTCACGAATCGCTTTGATCAACAATTTGATTGTTTAGTTTCCGCCAATCTTTTGCGCATGCTATGTAGATGAAAAACACTTCGCAGATGCGCGTTGCATTTTTGATAATTTGACATAGACGACATGAATATTTGTAAGTATACATATCCATTATAGTTCGACGAAAACTGTGAATTTATTCGTACATATACGAAAATCAATTAATAAATTATTGATGTTCCACATGATTAGAAAAATTTGTTTCATGTYTSTTTWATAAATCCCGACTATTTCCTTAATACTCGGTATGCATCTTCCGTTTATGTKTTCTTCCACTTCCAGACCCGTGAAATAAATAGTCTTGGRACGCTGTCCTTTCAACCTGTTTCGAATCCTAGTAGCTAATGCTTCGCCTATTGTTGAAACCACAACGAAGTAAAGAACKGAGTAACTTCGTCTGGTTTGACGTCTGGTATAAGCTTAGAGATAACGGATTTGGGAATCTATTTCCCAACTATACTTTATTGACATGGGATATTCTAAAATGAACTCCGGGCAWTTCATGCACTTATTTGGGTGTGTAATAGATATCGATAATTGTRCCCATACATTGACAGAATATCTAACGTGACAAACTGCTCTGTTTGYCTTGGTATTTCCGATCAATACAGACTGCTGATATTACACCCCTCTTCAGCTCGTCATTGGAATCTAGGAGGGTCAATTCGTGAGACCGGTTACTAGGCAACACGTCGATTGTGCATTGATGAGGGTCATAAAGGACGAGGTAYTTTTAATATAGTCATTTGATTAAGTTACAGCAGTGAGATTCGTAGGATAAATAAATATCCGATGAAATGGAGCTCGGCAAGGTTTTCTGCCTTGTGTTAGTGCTACTAATGGCTCTGTTCACGCGGAATAGCGATACGTCGAGTATTTACGTGGGACGACACGCTATGGCATCACGACCACAACTTGCTAAGAATTATAACGGTATGTCGTACGTAATGTTAATAAACTCTATTTTGCTTATGTTTCACGGCTTTCATTTCAAGTTTTTGAAATGACAAAAGTAGTTTTAAAAATGTTTGTCTAACAGATGTTTTAATTATTAAGCCATGGAGATGCTAGCCATATCAAAATCTCTCATCTCCCGCGAATGTGAAAAGTTGCCCTGAGCAGTTCGAGAATGATTTCAGCCACGTGTCGTGAGAGTTTATTGTACAAACAACATAGTTGAAGTTAAATTCGTCGCTTTTTGTTCTTATTAGTTCAATGATACTTTCAAAAATCTGCTTGTTCATCAAAAGTAATCTCTAGGCCATTTCTATATGCGACATAAATTCCGGTGCAGCATCCCATACAGCGCATGCTTGCTAAATGTTTTTTTTTTGGACCTCTGTGGACGTCTCAAGCAGTAACTTTCGTTTTCACTATGCGTCACAGCGGCCATCTTGGAGGAACTTCACCAAAAGGATTTCTCATTAGAATCTATGTTCATTCCTCTATAACATGGCCACCTGTCTTCGATTTGAATCAATAGAACACATTCGGATACAACAATTTCTGACATCGTATGACATATATCATTGATTATTGACTATTCTTAAAATTCTAATACAGATGGAAATCACAATTTGATATGTATCCTTTTGCGTTAGTGTAGTGTGTGTGCTCGCCTATATATTTATTTACTAATGTGACTTAGTATTATTAGTATTTATTTATCTATTTATTGTATTTACATATTATATCATATTTATTGTCAATTTATTTATTAAGTATCTCTACAAACTGCCTCGATTAGTTAAACTATTTGCAGTCTTTACATRTAATTTACATTACCTGATTTAAATAGCCTCGAATCTATGTGTAATTTGATTGTTTATTCTATTGTTGTCTATCCTAGGAACGAGGCTATTTCTACCTGTACTGGAATTTAAAAAATAGTCCTGATTAAATCATAGTTATAGTCGAGGGAAATGGTTAGAAATCCATAAAAAGATATTGGTGGAGCATATAGCTTTCTTTACT